AAAGGCAAGGTTTTTACGTATCGAACGATTATGACAATAGATAATAGAGAATCGTCGGATAGTTTTGTATATCACAAATGCAAGCACAAGGAGCAGCTCCAAACAAACGCATCGAAAGAATCCACATAAATACCGATATCTCTGTAATTTCTAAACACAAGATCTGTGAATTTGATATTTTAAATGGAAATAAGTATACATAAGAAATCCATGACAGTATAAAGTATAATTCTTATAATTCTTAGTAATGAAAAATCGAGTCGATTAAAAAAAAAAACAGAGATTTTTATTGAAGTATATATATCACAAAAACTCTTGCCTAAATCTAACAAATACTTGCCTAATTAACTGATAAATATCAAGAGACATAATAATGTCCCGCAAGTACAAGCAAGTTATGATATTATATACATACTCTTATATACATACTCTTTTAATTCTTATCTATCAATTGATACTCAATAATAAGAAGCGTTTCATTTTACAAGCAATATACATAATACACTCCTGAATTTATTAATGTCTCTAATAAATAATAAAGAATAAATGAGATGTGTTTGTATAGAAATAAGTCTACCTGCTGTTATAAATGTAAGCATATTTTAGGGCAGATCACTTTTCGATTAATAATTCCTTTTTGGGAGTGATTTACAAGGCTATTTTACATATTTTCGCAAGTTTTCACAGTATCGTAACACAAGGTAAAGCATACATTGTGTTTTTGAAAATAATTGAAAACTATAGTTTTCAAGGATTTTTATGTCAATAATATACAAATACGATGCATGCGAGTGCTGAAAGTGAACAGCAGATGGACTCATTTCTGTGCAAAATATGTATATTACTTTCATTTTTACAGATAAATTAATGAATTTGAGAGTGTATTGAAATTAATAAACAATAATATGCACTAAACGTTTCTTGCATATGAACAAATATTTCTAAACAATTACGTCTCTCTATCCTTTTAAAACAATGAATTAGACACATTTTATATAATATAAATATTATATAAAAATTAGACAAAAATAA